CTAAATTTTTAGGTACATTCTCTGAATATAACATATTTTTTCCTGCTGTCCTCTTGGTATTACTGTTGTGCTCTTGCAGACGTCGTTTCAGAGACGTTAATTATTTTGCAGAGTACTCCACTGGTCTTTCTCTTCTGCCAGAAGTTAGATGTACATAGAACGAATCTCGCTACCCCACATGCGACGTGTGAAGTTGGAACAGCAGAAACGGGACTGTCATTTATGGACCACATGCCACACCCCGGGTTCTCTAGTCAGCGCCTCTGCCCAGTTATGTCCCCGAATGCTGCGGCGGCCCCGTCCAGGGGAGGGGCGGGTCTCAGCCCCGCCGAGGGGTCAGGCAGCAGGTGAGCAGGACCGTCTTGAACCCCGGTCTTGGTCCCCTGCAGTGGCTCTCGGTCACTGCGCCCACTGGGAGCGCCAGGCAGGCGCCTGCCCAGCTCTGCACACGTCCCCTGCGTCCCCTCCGTCCCCTCAACGCACGTGGTGAGGTGTAGACGTTTATTATCTCCACTTCACAGAGGAGGAAACTGGTGTTCGGTAGTAACTGATGGGATCAAACCCACCCAGGACCATCTGTCCTTGCAGCCCCCGCTCCAACCCGCGCACGCTCAACCAGACACACACGCAAATGCCCGATAACCGTGGAAACAGTGGTTTGAAAAGGAGGACGAGTGTGCACTGACCCTGCTGCCTCGTTTTTAGAAGGCGAAGTCGGCGTCTTCAGCGTGAGGAACATGTGCTGCGGGGAGAGGAATGTGGACTGGAGAATTCGGGGGTGGGAGGATGGGTTGGGTACCTGGCTAGTCGCCGTCCTCCGTGCAGCTCTTCAGTTTACAGAACTGAAGCGGCCTTTGCAGGCCCTTCTTCTGCTCACGAATGTTTCTCCGGCGTTTCCAGCAGTGGTGGGGACCTAGAGGGCCCAGCCTGCTGCCGGGATGTGTGTCCTCACAGAAGAGACACAGGGGCCGGGTGATCAGGAAAAGAATCCAGTAGCTACAGGAAGCCCCCTGGCGTAAGAGGGGCAGGGCTGCGTCAAAGTCATCTTGACGTTGCCAAAATCGGGTTTAACTGATCGTAACTCCCTGGGAGTAACTGCCGGGGAGCGAGCTGCACAGACCCGGCCGGCCTTGCCTTGGGATCCCCTGAACCCAAGGACACGGTGAGCGACCCCCTCCTCCCCACCACCAGCTTCCGGGAGTCTTTTTGCTTCAGAGCTTTGCGGTTAGGGGACTGACTAGTCTTGAGAGCTGGGACTAAGGACTAGTTCAGCTGCAGAAACAAAACTCAGTGTTTACCTTCTTAACCACGTTTTTATTTTTCCTTTTTCTCAAATACCGGGTGATGTTTATTGCCAAGGAGCAGAAGCCAGCTTTCGTAGGTTACAGTTCCAATCTCAGAGGAGATTTAAATTTCAGGGTTAATTTACGTGTTTGGTTCTCTTTATCATCCTGCTTTCAAACCGAGCACGATGGCTTGGAGTGGCTGCAGTGTTCTAGGTGCAGACCTGCTCCACCAGGACAAAGGTGCTGTTGCCTGGGGATGGACAGACGGACAGATGGAAGGTAGGAAGGAGAGAGGAAAATGAAGATAATTTAGCTCCGAGGGATGGAGGAGAGAGTGTGTAGGAGGAGCTCAAAAGCTCATTCTGCCACCTGTTGGGTGATTTGGGGCAAGTTATTTAACCTCACGCCTCCTTGATTTCCTTGTCTGAAGGTGGGAAACGCGCAGCCGTCGCGCTGTTACACGGAACTGCACACGCGAAGTCCGTGTCCCAGTGCCCGGCAGACTGTGTCTTTGCTCCTGACCCCTCACCAGCTTCTCTCAGACGAGGCCACCTCGGCGTCAACCGGCCAGTCCCTCCTGTGGTGCCAGGAGGTCCGGGGGACAGCCCTGCCCCGCGACTCCCTAGGGGTCACCTTGGGCCCGTCATTTTATGGCTAGATGCCTCCATCTTGCTAAAACGGGGTTCAACCAGCTCCGTCGTGTTTGCTTCTGGCTCTAGAAGTCTGTTCTTCCCTTCCTTTGCACACACGTGACAGCGTATGACAGAAGAGGTCACACCCTAAAATCTTTTGTCAGTTTTCCCCAGAGGCAGAAAAACGCAGGCAGTGGGCATGAGGTGTGTGGTGTTGTCGTTGGGCTGCTTTTGCCTAAAAATCCGTGCCTCCGTCCACCTCCCACAAAACTAATCACTGGTATCTTCTCGCCGATTTAATGTCATAACTGAAATCACTGTTGGGCTCCTGTTCCTTGCTTGTAGCATCTGGGGGCAGGGTGCGAGGATGAGGAAGAAGGCTCTGTTGTCCAGCTCACTTTTTGCTTCCTTACAGTTCTAGCAAGGAGGTGGTATCACGCGATGGGGGAGGCATCGTTCCGGAGCCAGCTTCGCCGCCCCTGCCTGGGCCTGAAGCGCTGGGGCCGCCTGACCGCGCCCTGAGCCCGCAATGACAGGCGACCCCCCCAGCGCAGGGGCCACCGCCAGGCTTGTTTCCTTGGCCCTTCCCGCCACAGGACAGCCGGGGGAAGGGGCTGGCCAGGCACTCGGCCTTTGGTAGAATTTTACATTTCTTTGGCCTTTTCCCTTTCTTCGCTTCTGCGAGGCCCGTCCTCCCGGGTGGCTCCGCGGGCGGCTCACCGCCCAGGAGCAGGTCCTCTTGCAGTCTCTGGATTCCCTGTGTCGCTCGGGCTCCTGATAAGTCGCTGTGCCCGTCTGGATTCCTGGCTCTGTTTGTCAAGACTGGAATCTGGTCCAGGGGAGCATCAGGGTTTGGTTGGACGGGGCACCCGCCCCCTTTGAAGCCGGCCGCAGCCCGCGGTAATTGCCAGCTTCGACTGCGCAGACGGCTCGCGCGGGCGGGGCCGGGCCAGGGCTCGCCTGGCCCCGCTTCAGCCGCAGCCCCCAGCGAAGCCTCAGATGTGGGGAGGCTCCGGTCGCCCGAGCCTCATGCCTGTGGTTTCTTGAAAAGAATCTGGATGGGACCTGTTTTATGTCTGCAAACCACACGGCAAGGCCCCCGTTTCTCCCCTTTGGAGGTAAGACTTGGTCAACCCTATATTTTAAAAGTGCCACCAGTGAGGGGGGTTCCTTTCCATTTGTAAAAACACTAGTTGCACCGGTAGGAAAGCATCCCTGCAGCTGCTCTCTAGGTGAGCGGTTCTGCAGAGAAGCTCCGAGGTAACACAGGGCTGAGGGGTGGGAAAACGTGAGGCTGTAGAAGTCCCTGGCCTGTAGGAGAGAGATCCTTTCCGGGAACGCGCCATACCGTCCTTGAGAGGCCGACCGTGTCTGTCCGAGTGATTGCGTCACCCCCGTGCTCAGCTCAGGACGGGAGGCCGGGAGGGCGCTGCAGGTGAGGGGCGGCTGGGCCGGGGAGACCGAGCAGAAGCGCAGGGTGCTGCAGAGCCGGCGTCAGCCTGCTCGGGCGTGGGGGCCAGCAGGGTCACGGAAACTGCCAGGGTGGGGACAGATCCTACAAGAGGGACGGATGGCCCCCCTCAGGCTGCCAGCCCAGGACCTCACGGCCAGGCCTCCAAGTGCTTTCATGCCTGAATGAGGGGAAAACCTTCCTGGGAGGAGCAACCTCGACCCAACCTTTGAAAATCTGTGATGTGCCCCCACCAGCCGTGCCAGGGGCCTGCTCCGTTCTCCTGGGACAGGCACGGTCCTCTGTCGCGCTCTGATGCCCGTGTTGAGGATCAGTGCCCCACAACGCTGTACCGTGGGTTTCCTGTTAAACAGGGAAGGGTTAATTTTGCAGAATAGGAATTGGAATTACCGTTGAAGACCATCCCAGGTGAAAACACTGTGGGGCTGATTTCCTCCCGTTTTGTGTTTGCTTGTTGGTGGCTTTTTCTGTTCAGCAGCTGCGCAGAGGTACAGATGGTTTCTTCGCAGTTCAGATCAGTCACTCTCAGGGACGGCGTTGGTGGCAATCGCAGTGGCGACCCCGGCTGACATGCTCACAGGGCTCAGTGTGCGGCGCACTTTGTAAAAGCCCCTGCAGTGTACAAGCCAAACCGTAACTTACCATCTGGAGTTTCGTTTTCATCATTCACCTATGTCAAAGCTTCCTTTTCTTTCTACTTACTGAAAAGCATGAGGGAATCCAGGATTTAGAATTAATTTTTAAAAGGCAACATCTGCTTCTAGCAAGGCTACCACAGGCACAGAGAGTTGGGACTCGAGTGAGGCCACCGAGGGACCAGGTAGGAAGGGTGCTCCCGGCATCTCTGCCGTGAAGGAAAGCAGCCGTCCAAGTTCAAAGCGGTGGAGGCAGGTGCTCTCTGGAGGGAAGGAAGGAACTTTTACTTTGCTCCCGTCTTTGTCTCATCTTGTTGCATTTTGTTTTTAATCGCTTCCAAAATCTCAGATCATTGAAGGTTTTGGGATTTGGGGGTTCTTTTTTTTGAAAATCATTATTATCACCAATATCAAGCAATAAGTAACTTCAAAATACTTGCTAAGAGATCCAGGTTGTTAGAAAGGAAAAAAAATCTTGAGAATTTATAAAGTCTTAAGTGCAAATGGAGAGGCTTATGTACCTTTGGCTGTGAACACGAGGGAGCACGTCGGCTATGTTGGCGCTTGTCACGGGAGCTGGCGGCGCATTGCGACTGTGTCTTAGACCTGCAGTGGGCTGAAGACACCAAACACCCCACAATAATAAGTCTTCCCCCGATCCGCCTGTTATCCACTTTCCCATCTGGCCATTTCCTACAGGTGTTTTTCAACCATGTCTTTTTTTTTTTTTTTTTTACCATGACCCAAAGTTTTAAATACATTTTACACTGTAACTGTGTACGTATATATGCGTGGAACCGCGGTGAAAATCTCAGTGCATTATACTTAACTCTGTACTGTATTCTGAGCATTTTGGCTACCACCGGCCAATCCATTTTAGCTGTTCCCAAATCAACAAAATGGGTTAATTAAAGGCAGAGGTGTTAAGGCCTGTGGCAAATTCACAGTAATGGCATGTCCTTTGTTCCTTCCTGAGGTGGAAAACGAAGCTCATTCCCGACGTGCAAAGCCAAGGCAGCGACCCCGGGACCTCTGCTGGAGATGGAAGCTTGCTGAAACCCAAAGGAACACTGACACCAGCTCTGCCCTGAGGTCACCGCTACGGACGCTGGTCCACAAAGACAATCACTGCCCAACCCCCCTTCCGTCTACTGCAAGAGCCGAGTTCCAAACTACAGCATAAAAAGGGTTTTCAAAAGGAAATTAAAAGCCCCTGAGAACGCTAGCAGACCCCGGGTCAGCTGTGCAGCTTTGGTCCCCTCATCTCTGTGTGCACTTCCCAGAGCCTCCCGCATCCACCACCTTCCGGCAAGGACAGTGACTCGGCCGCGCTCGCCCGCCACGCGCCACCGGAGCCAGCACCCCAGCGGAGGAGTTCCCTCTGTCTTCATTTTTCTTTCTTCCTTTCTCTTAAAGCTTTTATTTAACAGTGCAAAGGATCAATCTTACGTTTGCTTTTTTTAAACTTGAATTTTTTTTAGTTTTAATTTTCTTGTATATTTTGCTAGCTATGAGCTTTTAAACAAAATTCAAAGGTCTGGAAAAGTTTGAAATAAAAAGGAAAAGAAGCCTTTTCTTTCTGGGAGACAGCTTGTCCAATAAAGTGGCTTCTCTCCCTCCCTGCAAGCTGAGAGAGCCAAACAAATGCAATAGCCACATCCACTCTGTCGGTAGCAATGGGCAGTTCTATTTCACTTTGTTTTTTCTTCTGATTTTTTTTTTTTTTTAAACCTTAACAGATGCATTCAGCAGACCAGTTTGCAGTGAATTTTCATTTCTTTCCTTCTCACCCCCACCTTGTTGTAAAAAGCCCAGCACTTGAATCGTTATTACTTTAAATGTTCTGTATTTGTATCTGTTTTTATTAGCCAATTAGTGGGATTTTACGCCAGTTGTTAAAATGAGCATCGATGTACCCATTTTTTTAAACAGCAAGGCACAGCCTTTGCCCCAAACTGTCATCTAACGTTTGTCATTCCAGTTTGAGTTAACGTGCTGAGCATTTTTTAAAAGAAGCTTTGTAATAAAACATTGAAAAAAAAAAAGTGTCATTTGATTAAGAGTGAAGTTGCTGATGAATTAGCCCCACCGGCCAGAGCTGCTTTGCAGACAGGAGCCATCCGTGGTAGGGGCGCTGCCGGCGCAGCCTCCTCTGGGCACAGGCAGCGCCTGGTGCACCTCCCGGGCACGCAACCCTCAAAACTACTCGTGCGGTTTGGGCTGCCGCCTCCAGGTGTAGACATAAAGCAGGGTCAAAGGAAAGAAGAGGGTCACCAGGAATCTGATGGGAGTGAGCCTCTTCCCTCCCGAGCACCTCACGATCCTAGTGGGCCCCAGCCTGCAAGTTTGCGGTCACCACCCCTCTGCAGAGCTCACTGGTTCTCAGACTGTGCTCCCCAAATCAGGAGTCCCAGTGGTGAGCAAAGGTCTTAACCTCCGCCCATCTCCCCAGAGCCTACATTTTCCCATTCTTGAGTTTGCATTCCATAACTTTACCTCAAGCTTTTGTTATACTAGTACGTGTAAGCTGGTATCTGACTTAGCAAAAACTATACATTTTAAGACATCACTATTTCATGGTCTTCCACAATGGTTTTCTATCCCTTGAATTAGTCTGAGAACCATTGATATCACTGGTCTAACTTAAATCTCTCCTGCTGAAATTCTAGTTGTTTCCCTCTTGTAACTTTCAATACAGCTGGGGAACAGCTGGCTACCATACTCGTAATAACCCTCCGCATACTGTACTTGAAGACTGCCGTTAAATCACCCCTCAAATTTCTCTTCTCCAGGCTAAGTAATCCCACTTCCTTGAACCTTTCATCATCAGTTCTTTAATCATTTTCATGACTATCCTCTGGAATGTCTACAGTTCTTCTTCATTTAATCCTAAACTTGAACCAGGGGAAAAAAAAAAGCATTATGTTCAGGGGACCTACTGGTTATAAAATTTTCCTATTCAGCCCTGGCCAGAACTTCACTTGAAAATTATCTCTGAGTTTTCTTAATGTACACAAACCCAGTAGGTAAAGCAGTCTAAAGCTGCCACCATGATCTTTTCAGGAGTGACACAGAAAATCCAATAAAATGATACAGGAGGTGACAGTGGGGTGTTGCTTTTTGGAGAGGAAAAAAAAAGATGATAGCAACACATTGATTGGCTTTTCCGGATCTTAGCAATTAAAAGTCTGTTACCAAGGCAACAAAGGACATGTACCTGAGACTCACGGCCTGGCCACAGCCCACTCGCTCGTCTCTCTTGGGTCCTCCTCTACATTTGTATGACCTACCAAAAAAATGAATAAACAATGTTGAGAGCAATGGATTATTTGGACACCCTGAGCCAGCTGTTCCTTCCACAGACTTGGTCCCCGGCTAGTTTTCTATATTTCTCCCAGAATAATATTTCCCAAGTAACTTTGATGTCACGGTGCTCATTCTGGCCCATTCTGCCAACATCTTGCTTTCTGCAGGCAGCAGCTCTGGGGAAGGACAGTCGGGTGTCTCCCCAGAGACAGGGACCAAAGCGGGAGTCTGTGTCGAGAGGGACACTCCTCCAGCCACTTGTGTTTGAGCTTGGAGGATCTGGCTTCCTTACCTGCAGCAAACTCGGAGCTGAAGTGCGTGCCAGGAGGAGGACAGTCGGCCTTCTGTCCGGGAGCGAGCCTTCTCTGAGGTCACAGCTGGCGTGCTGGTCCGAACGAAAGGGCGTTTTCCTCCTGGTTTTTGTTTGGCTGCTAGGTCTGCTGGCAACTACCTGTTTGGCTGGAAGGGGCCTTCCCACTGCTTCGTGACTACAGCTCTCCTAAGCACAATAATTTTTTCCTCTGTAGTCTGATCTGAGTCTGCAACAATATGGAAACCTCTAACGAAGGACCCATGAGCAAGAACAAGCTGTCTGTGTGGTTTTCCTTTTGAAGAAGAAAGTCAAGAGAGTAATGTATGGTTCTGACAGAAACGAGAAACTTAAATTCCACATGATGTAGTAGTTGCTTAACAAATTACATTTACTACCTTCTGCCACAGAATGTTATCTTCCATACACGGAAGGCTGGGGAATTTTAAGAGCTGCCCCATGAAACCTGACTTGTGAGGATACATGCACATGAAAACTCCAACTGCTTTTTACTAGCAACTGTAAAATTTAACTACAGTTAAGCATCTTAATGCTAAAGCATATATTCAAAATGCCATTTATTACTGAGGTATTGTGGAAAGACGACCATGGTTCTCTTGCCTGTCATTTAGTGGGTATCATTCTGGAAGTTGCTGTTCTAAACCTCTGCAGCTCTCCAGCGGGAAAACTTCCATTATCTTGCTCCGCAGCCAGACGTGGCTCAGGGAAGATGGGAGAGGAGAGGATGTACCAAGAGCAGCTGTTTAAAATACACCTTAGCATGAATCAACCTACACTGAAACTGTATTCACATAATTTATAGTAAAACTTGAGAACTCAAGTGAAAACTGTTATTTGCTTTTATTGCAGAAACAATGCTAAAGTTGTTTATCATCAGCAGCGTTGTGGGTCACAGTAAACTTGTATGAAGAAGCAATAATCACACTCCTTCAATACATTTTTACTAACCGTATGGGATAAGGGTTCCGTCCTTATCCGCATTTTACCAGGTATGTCCAGAAAAAAAAAATAACTTCTCTAGGTTATATAGGTAGAGCGGAGCTGAGAACTAGAACCCAAGTCTGTTTAATATCAAAGCCCATGCTTTTAGTTTTATTGATTAATCCTGCACCGGCTATAGTTGGCGATTTATTTATAAAACATGGACTAAAATTAGCATCAATGACGGAGTTCTCTTTCAGGAGTTAAACTTTGTTCTGCTATTTCAAAACAGTAGCTAAGGAAAAAAAACTGCTAAAACTGACACAAAACCTGATTATGAAACATTGAGACTGATTTAAAAAATGGAATTTACGCAACCAAATGGCTTCTTTCAAAGTATAGTCTGGAAAGTACAGCAATGATTCCACTGTTCAAGGCATGTTTTAGATTACTATTTATGTAGCATCAATGCTTGCTTACAAGAAAATTAGTCTCATAAAATTATAGCCACACCTTGTATTTTTGGTAGACTTAATCAGTTTCTTAGGCTGAAATGTTAAGGGGATTAAAATCAAGGTGGGACAAGACCAAAGCTTGTTTCAAGCGTGTGAACAGCATAGCCAAGAGAGAAATCCTAATTAGCATGTATTGTTGTATAAGCCGTGACTAACATACTGGTTGTCCCCTCTGCAGTGAAAAATGGTTGACTCACGAATGGGTTTCTGAAAGCTGTTGTGTTAGTCCAAAAAACTTATAGTTTAGCACAACCCAGTGGAGAATCATTTCATAACCATAGGTATACCACAGGGTTTTTATTTGTATACCACAGGTTCCCAGTTCCAAGGCCTGCTTCTACCCTAACCCCAGGCTGCCCCATTTACCAGTTTCCCCAACTGGAAATACACCTCACAGCTGACGATGGAAGAAGTTAACCAACCATTTTCCCCTGAGAAACTGTTATTAACAGTGAATCTTCTGAACATTAAGGAGCCATGATTTTATTTTACAAAGGCATCTTCATAAGCATTAAAACCATCCTTCAGAGAACACTACTTCACTGAACATAACTGAAGTCTGGCTGATGGCTATACTCAGAGGCTCACTTTGTCTTTTTCAACATTTCACCAATTGTGTGGTTTTCTTTTTAATCTCCAATTTTCACTTCTATTGTAGGAATAAAAATATCACTAACAGGAAGAGGAGAGAGAAAAAAATAAAATATCCTCTTGACATAAAACCTGGTCGTTACTTTCGAGTGGCATGGAAGCCACGGCTGCTGTGGGGGGCGAGGCTGGGGGTGAGGGGAACCGTGCGGAGGAGCCGCCCCACGGCGCTGCCTGGACTTGCCTCCCTCCCACGAGAGCTGCCGGGACAGTGGAGGAGATGTGAGGTGCCGGGGCTTCTCCCGAACCCGGGTGTCCGCCCGCAGGCTGAGGCACGCAGCCGCCGCTGGCCTGCGTTTGGAGACGGACGAGACCTTCCTGCTCACCACAGAGCCCTTCCCGGGGAAGCAGCTGTGCTCACGCAGAGTGCGAGAACCTGGAGTCCGGGGAGAAGGCACTTGTACAAAACCTGCCTGTGGCTGTCATCGCCAGATTTCTTACCAGGAAAGTGGCCATAACCACGTTTAAGAAGAGGAGGATGTTCAAAATCCCTTCCTGGTCCCAAACGTGGTGCATGGAAAAGTTTTTGGAAATGATAGAAGGATGTTCAGAGGTCAGGCCTTTTGACTGTTTGGTAGGCGGAGAGTGCATTTCAACACATCGGCCAGAAAGCCCGCTGCCACCCCATCCTCTCGCCCTGGCAGGCCGACAGGCACGAGGCTGGGGTAGACTCTTAGAATTTGGGGTCAAGGAGGAGCCCTGCACTTCTAGGACGGGAGCCCACATCCTGTGGCGACTCTGGGCAGAGAGTGAGGAAGTGAAGCCCCCTCCTTGCCCAGGGCTCAGGACAGAGGTCGAGAGCCAGCCTGCGAGGGGCGGGGAGCTGGCAGACCCCGGGGCACCTCTAGTGGTGGAAACCGTGGTGGCCTCTCGGGGGCTTCCTCTTGCTCCTCAGCCAACGTTTTCAAAGAAACTGAAGGTGTCCTGAACCAGTCCTATGTGTGGTAAAATGTATATACTTACTTATTTTCCCACTAAACTGTAGATTCAAATTTTTAAAAATTAATAAGTTCCCTTTTATCAAACGAAATGAAGGAAAAAACCTCTAAATTATGAGAACTGTGACCCAGGATGCTAAACAAGAACACCCATTTTGGAGACGGTCCTGTCTGAAAGCTGGGACTTAAGATTTTCAAATTTGCTATTTTATTCAATTTTATCATCAAAACCTAGTTCTAATTCGGGCTCTGCTGCAAAATATCTAGTGACTCTGGGCACATCACTTGAGCTGTCTCCTAACGAGACCACTGGACCTCAGGATTTCTGATGTCTTTCCAACTCCAAAATTCTATCTTGGAAGACACTTTCGCAAGCCAATGATTAAAAGAAGCTTATGTTACACTATTTCACTCTGTTGGCAAAGAAGAAACAGATGTTCCTTAAAAATTGTTCTCTGTGCTGTTATTGCTACTTCCTGGTAAGAAATCTGGCGGGGGCAGCCACAGGCAGGTTTTGTACAAATGCCTTCTCCTGCCTTTCCTATCCCAACACTGCCACTTTAGAAGACGACAGGAGGCCAAGAAGATAGGAAATAGCTGTCTACATTACCAACTTTTTACTTTTATAGTCACTTAAGCATATTACAATTTTAAATTATACATATTTATTTCAATTCAAATTTTCACAGACTAAAAGACTGTATTTTATTAGAGTCAATTTATAGGCTGTTTTCAACACTGATTTCTCATGGGGAAAAAAGAGAGAGACAGTAATCATTGAGATTGGTGGATCTGAATGACCATGAAGACAGACGTCTTCCCGCAAACCAAGCACACAGATAGTCCCGGCACCCCAGCAGCGGCGTCTTAATGACAAGTTGAGTAAAGACAGAGCATCTCGTGTTGTGCCCAGAACGCAGGTAAGGCTCAAAGCTGCGGGCAGCAAACGTTCTCATAAAGGCAAGACTCAGGCGCTGCCCACCGCAGCACTCAGACACACCACGCACGTGCCAGTGCTCGTGACACCCCTGCACGGCGCCGGTGACCACCGCGCCCCTCGCTCTTAGAGGAAGGACTTTCCCCTGCATGAGGGAACGAATTCAGGTAATTCTTTACAAAAACGGCATGGTTAAAAAGAAACGTTTGCTCTAAGGCACCAAGGGTGTAAAGCTTTTTAGAAAATACATAGAAATAGACAGGCTAAAAAAGGGAATTCGTTCTCAGTGGAGGAATCTGTTACTGCAACTAACGTCAATAATTACTTGAGATCACAATCAGAACGCGCAGCGCACAGACCGTGCCGAGCGAGGGATGTCTGACCGGAGGGCATTCCCGCGGCACCGGTTCTTCTCAGAGCCAGACGAGCCGCACATCATTTGTACTTGTAAAAGCCTTCTCCAGTCTTCTTGCCAAACTTCTTCTCTGCCACCAGCTTATTCAAGGCTGGGCTGGGCTGAAACTTGGGGTCCTTCACATCTAATTCATGCCACCCTATTGAGGAGGAAGAGGGCTTAGGACAAAGCGCTGGGTTTTTTTTTTTAAACCTTGGCATTCCCAGGGCAAGTCTGGAGGCACAGCTTGGGGAGGGTCCCTGCGCCGCTGTGGGAGAACCGCTCGGGCGCCACGCCCGTAAGGCCACCACAGAGAGGCTCCAGGAAGGCAGCAGGTTGCTGCCACCCACCCGTGCTGCTCTACGCCCGGCCCTGTACGGCCCTCCTGTTGGTCCCATCTCTGCCAAACGTCCAGGAGCACTGACAGAACCCAGTGATTTGCTGCTTAGGCTCCTCAGTGGCACAGTTGACTTTCAGAATACGTGTTAAAATCTGAATTCCTGCTACTGTATTTTGCAACCTCATAAAATTCAAATTTTCAAGCTTCAGCTACAGCCCTTGCAGATTCTCCCAAACACGTAAGTATTGCTTTGTGAAACTTGAGAGTAGTGAGCTACATGCAACTTTAGTAATCCAGTTTTAAGAACTATTTTTACCCTGTCTTCAGAGCCACTACATTAAAATGGATACATTTTTAAAAAATGGTTGTGTATCTTGATTGCAGTGGAGGTTACGCAAATCAATACCAGTGATCAAATGAGTGTACCAATGTCAATTTCCTGGTTTAAACATAGCACTATGGTTATGTAACATATAATCATTGCGGGAAACTGGGTGAAGGATACATAGAACATGTCTGTGCTATATTTGCAACTTCTTATGAATCCATAATTATTCCAAAAGGAAAGTTAAAAAAAAAAAAAATGGTTACCCTGTTAAGAGACACTAGGCAGTCACAGTCTTCCTCTCCTGCCATCTGTTAACCTGAATCTTCAACCTAGGGAAGTGGGACTTTGGAAGATTTTTGCTAAGACCCTTTATTATTTCGGTAAGCATTATAATTCAAACCTCAGAGAAACTACCTCAACTCAATTAAAGAAAGACAAGAAAGAATTCCAGTTCCTACCGTCCACGATGAACTTTGTGGTATCCAGCCCAACGTAATCTAGAAGCTCAAATGGGCCCATGGGGTACCCGGCTCCTAACTTCATAGCAGTGTCGATGTCTTCCTTGGACGCGTCACCTAAGGAGAAAAAGGCAGCACTGAGTTCCTGCCACCCTTCCTATCATTCTATCATGGGATTATTCCCAGAATTACTAGAGTGTTATATACTTGCACATTCAAACAATGTCTAGAGTCAGAATTTCTGGCTTAGGGTAAGATTTCATCTCAAAGGTATATACCAAAGAGGTCACAAAATTTTCAAGTTACTGCATCGGGTGAGGTAAATTCTAGAGCACGGCCACCTTGTTCATGGAGAGACAGCCCCTGTGCCCGGAAACATTAGCTACTTCTGAATGGATTGGGATTTTCTAACTCTGGAGTCATTTACTAAAATATCATTTAAAGCTAGAGCATATTTTTGATTTATAAATAGTTTTTTTTTTTTTTTTTTTGAGACAGAGACGCACTGTGTTGCCCGAGCTAGAATGAGTGCTGTGGCGTCAGCCTAGCTCACAGCAACCTCAAACTCCTGGGCTCAAGTGATCCTCCTGCCTCAGCCTCCCGAGT